TTTCAATATCATTTATTGATTATTAGAATTGGATGTAGTACTTTTAAAGCAAAAGTAATCATCATCTTCATCAATTGAAGATTTTGTTGAAGTATTAATTTCAATATTATTTTTAAAAACAATTAAAACTTAAGGTAATAACAAATCCTGAAGGTATTTTTTTTCCTTTACACCATCAATCCAGCGATTTTTAAAATAGGGATGAGAAATAGTTGCCAAAAACGCACTTTTAAAATTGTTATCAAAATCATATATATTTTTAAATCTTTTATTTAAAGAATTTTCTATGGCAATAGCTAATGGTTTGCAAAATTGTAGATTGGTTTGAATTAAATTTGTAATTTTTTTTAACGACATTTAAAATTGGAACTGATTCTCCATAATATCAGTTAATTTCACTCTGTATTTTGTCAATCGCTATAGCCAATGGGGCCATTATATTGCAATATTCTTCTAAATATTGAATTTCAATATCTTTTAATTTAGGAAATTCTAATTTTTGACATAATTTAGGAAGTTCGCCTTTAAATTTTAATTAACTATGAAGACTATCATATAAACTATTCCATCTAGTGCAACAAGGTGTAACTAATTGTTTTCCTAAAACTGCTTTGATAAGTTCTGCAGTTTTAGGTCTATTATTTGTATTCCATAGCTTAGTACATTTAGCTATTGCAGGATGATGAATTTTAGAAGTGTTAGGAGATTCCTTAATAGCTCTCTCGACATCTGTTGTGGCAATTAGACTTATCGTATGGCACAAACAACGAATGTGTTGAGGCAATGTTATTGAGGCTTCTTTAGACCCTTAAATAAACAAATAAATAATTTTATTTAAATAAAATTTTTTACTAAATTTACAATATCATAATAAATTTTAAAGAAGTATTAAAGAATACTTTCAATGATTTTGAATTCTATACATTCATCATCATTGATGTCAAAGTTATTCTCTACAGCTTCCATAGAATATCCAAACTCCTTGAAAGCTTTCTTAAAGTTAGAGCCGTTATCTGTAACAGTTGCTATAACTTTTTCGTCAATACCAAAGTCACGATGAATTTCATCAACTAATTCTGCTATTTTATCGTAGGTGTGGCTTCCTGAAAATCTTCTCACAACAAGGGTCAGAGATTGTCTTTGTAAACTATCACTTGAGAGCTTATTTAAATATTTATTTAATTGAATTTATAAATAAAATAGCATATTATTTCATTACCCACTGACAAGTCATTCCAAGAAAGCTTCTAGTCATAGTAGACCAAATATCTGCAGTAGTGCAGATGTATGTCTGAGCTTTCAATAACTGTTTTAAATTATCAGTTTCATGTATGAAGCTTTCATCAATTTTTCTTTGCAAAGATCTTCGAGAAAAAATTTTAATTGGATTTCCAATACAGGATAATATTTCTAATAAATTGACAAGTAGAAGAAATAAGGATAAGAGAAAAAAAAATTGAATTTACCTTCCATCATTTTGACAAATTCCTTTTGCTCAACTATGGATAATGGATGCATTCCTTTTACAACAAGAAGTTAATAAATTATTAAATTTATCTTGAGATATTTTTTTCTTATTATCATTTGAAAATTCTAATTTTTTTGAGTTAATGATGTAGTTTTCACTATTTCTTTTTGTTTTTCTGTTTGTGTGATATTTTATGATGGGTCATATAATTTTTATATGATTCCAGATGACGTTTCAATAAGTGAAACAAATAATAAAATATTTTATATTAGATATTTACTAATTTTTTTGTAAAAAATTCTACTTTTAATGATAAAATTAGATGAATATATTTATAATAAAATATTTATGAAACTTTTGTCTTATTTATAAATAATAATTAATACTCATTAAAATTTTATAAATATTTTATGTAAAATTATATATTTTAAGCATATATGTAAAAATTTAAAAAAACACATGGTGGATTAAATATTGTTAAGTACTATCTATTATATAAAAATGGTGGCCCAAATATTTGGATTATATTTTGGCCTAGTGTTCAAATTAACAACCTCTTTTTTTATCAATATTAATTTTCTTATTCATTTCATAAATGATTTTTATCAATATGAAAATTTATTTTAAAATACTTCTAAATTTAGCAACAGATATGAAATATGAAATGATAATGAATATGATTATAAATGTGATTCATTATATAATTATATATTATACTTTTAGATGCTTGACAAAATTTGATGACGAATCCGCAGAACCATTTATAGGTTTGTGGCATTCTTTACATTCTGCAGTAACTTTATTATAATCATCTTGAAGTACTTCAAAAAATTTGCCATTAAGTATGCTTAGTTTAAATTTATTGTTATAATTTTCGGTTGAAGAATCAACTGAAGACGAAGATAAACATATTATTTTATTTTCTTCTTCCGTAATTAAATAGACAGATATAAAACGATTCAAATATGGTAGTTCTAATTGTTAGCAAATTGCTATATGACGACCAACGTCATATATCAAAAATTATCTTAAAATACGTAAATTTTGATTAAATTTTTCATTTAAATCTTAAAACAATATCATTTTAAATTTTAATACTATTTAAATTAACCAATATAAAAATTTTTTTAAAGTATCTGTATCTTTTTGAATACAAAGTTGGTTAAGATACATATACTATTAAATAATATGTATCTTAGATACTGGATACAAGATACTTTCCAAAATTTTAAAAAAGATACAAATATCCGCGATACTGCCCAACCCTGAAAAGGTGTTCTAGAAAGTGGAAATACTCTAGATGGAGATGGTGTTCACAACTTTTTCCCATATCTGTAAATAACATTTATAGAATGGTAAATAAAATATTATGTAAGTGCAATAATATTTCGAGTACCATTTTATGTAATGTATACATTAAATATTTACTAATTTAATAAAAATTAATAACTTTTTATAACTTTGAAATTTGTTTGAGTCCCACTTCAGTTTTTATATTTAATTTATACAATAAAAATTATTTAAAGCCACAGGTGTGCAACATAATTATGTAAGTCATTTAAACAAAATTAATAACTACATTTGACCGGAAGCATATTCATTAAAAAACATTTGTAGTTCAGAAAAAAAATGAATTGTACGGCTCTTCATATATTAATTTACCCAAGACAGACTTTTTTAAAAATACCTAATGTCTATTTTAAAACCAATAAATACCCAACGGCCCTTTTAAGGGCTTCTAAATTTTAACTGAAGTAAACTAGTTTTCCGATTCAATAACAACTATAAATTAATGCAATTATTTATGAGTCAAAAAAATGAAATATTTTTAAAATCCCAAAAATCTAAAAAAAATTGACTAAACTGAGAATTGACATCATAACTCAAAAAATAATGATGGAAACTTGAAATTTTTTTCATTTTATGTTTATATGAGTAAGCCTACACAAAATGAGTCAAAAAATAAAATATTTTTAAAATCCCAAAAATCTAAAAAAGATTGACTAAACTGAAAATTGACGTCATAACTCAAAAAATAATGATGGAAACTTGGATTTTTTTTAAACCTACTAATTTTGTATGGAGAGTTAAAGAATCCAATTGAAGCACAATCTAAAAATTTGCCGAATATTTATATATACCACTTTCTCCGTCCAATTAGCTTTCGACATCTATAGCACTTTATCCTTCTAAAATAGCTTTAGACATTAAAGCTACCCCTATTGAAGAAAGTTCTATGGCTGGGGAAGGTTTTAATAATTTTGGTAAATATTTAAAAACTGATGAATTAATGTCTCTATTTTTACATCCTATAAAAGTATTGAATTTAATACCCAATGGGGTAAAAAATAATAAAGTTTTTGTAATTAATAATAAATTTAAAATATTAAAAAATGTTAGCGAAAAGTCAGTCTTAGAGGATGATTGCGGAGCCTGGACTGGAAAGCTAAGAGGATCGAATATAATTTATTTTTTAAAGAAAAGCAAATTAAAAATCATAATATTTTAGAATTACTTGAGCCACAGCCAAATATTGACAATATTGTAATTCTTCATCGTTACTATTATGCGTTAAAAAATTGTGAAAAATATAAGAGAAAGATTTCTTATTTGGTTATAATTCACAAGGTAATGACGGAAACTTGAAATTTTTTTCATTTTATATTTATATGAGTAAGTTTACATAAAATGAGTCAAAAAAATAAAATATTTTTAAAATCCCAAAAATCTAAAAAATATTGACTAAACTGAGAATTGAAATCATAACTCAAATGATAACGTCGGAAATTTAAAATATTTCTTAATTTTATGTATTAATGAGTAAGTTTACACAAAATCAGTCAAATAAATAAGATATTTTTAAAATTCCAAAAATATAAAAAAAAACCGACGAAACTGAGATTTGACATTTTAACTCAAATAATAATGACGGAAACTTAAAATATCTTTTCATTTTATGTTTATATGAGTAAGTTTACTCAAAATGAGTTAAAAAAATTAGACATTTCTAAAATCCTAAAAATCTAAAAAAAATTGACTAAACTGAGAATTGACATCATAACTCAAAAAATAATGATGGAAACTTAAAATTTTTTTCATTTTATGATTATATAGTTTGTACCAAATAAATTAATCCAAAATAAAGAATTATGCTCTTATAATTCATATTTTTTTTAATTAAAAACTAAATTTTTAATATATTACGCCTTCTAACGGAAATATATTTATGATTTTTAGAATTTATTATGTATGTTATATTTTATATGTAACATATCTGCTATACATATTTTAAATTTATGAACTACAATTTTTTCCTTATTCTATTTTATTTATTTAGATATAATTATTTATGGATAAATTTGATTTACATAATAAAAACATTTTATTTATATTTTTAAAATAAAATTGATAGGAAATAAAAATAAATTTTACCTGTCAATTATCTACCTGTCAAATCAGTAGTTACACCGTTAGTATTTATATCATCTCAATATTAACAATAAAAGATCCATCAAAAAACTTTTCCGCATCAAAAAAAGTTACCCCAAATGAAAACGTATTTTGAAGTTCTTTGCTCACATATCATTATCTAAAGGTTCCCTATCAACAATTATTCAACTTTTTTCTGGAAGTATTCTTTAATTTTCCTTACTAAAATTTGTATTAAAATTTTTAAATTAAAAATGATCCACCACCCACCCTTAAAGTAATTAAATTATATTGTAGTTTTTGGGTATAGGCACTTTCTTTGTCCCAGTCCTTTTAAATTAAAGCCTATAGAGGTTTAAGCAAGTTGTGCCTACAAGTACGTGTGGCTTGCCCACAAACGTGTGGAGGGCTCCTCATATTTTTACTTTTATACCCAAATTTAATTGTTCCAATTAGATGGAAATGAGGAAAACCTAGGGTAGCTCTGTTGAATCTTCAACGCTAGAGGGCAAAAGCGCTATATATCACTTATCACGTAATTATCTTAATTAGTAATAAAAATCTTTATGACATTATTTCAGGCTTGGATATATAAGATAGTATACTTTTAGGAATATTTATTATACATTTGATATAATATATTAGTTAGTTTTACTGCAAAATATTTTTGATTTATCATGTTAATTTAAAATTTTAATTAATCAATGTATTTAATTAAGAAAAAAATATATATCAAATATATAAAATACAATGAGATTTTTATAGCTATATTTAAAAAAATGATATAATCCTAGAAAGTCTAGCTGCTAAAAAATTTATAATCATGTTAACTTAAAATAGCTCAACTTTTTTAAAAATATAATCCAAATCCTATATTTTTTAATATATTAGTTTAATAAATTTAAATCATGTTCAAGTACAATAAGACTACTGACTACTTATTAATTAAGGCAATAGCTTCTATACTCCCCCAGGTCAATTAATGTCTTACCCTCTTATACCAATGATAATTATTACAGATATACTTTTTAGAGTTTGACCTACCTTGCCCAGTTTTTGCAAAATCTGAAAAAAAATTTAAGGGGCCAGGTCAGGCAAAGTTTGGAAATTTATTTTTGTATATTATATATTTGATTTGATTTTTTGAAAAAGTAATAATTCATAAATTATAATGTTTTTGAATTTAACTACTCTCCAAGATTATAAATAGTTGTTTATTTTGGCGTTCAATTATTTTGGTTTAGGCTCTAATTTTAAAAAAAAATTAGTAAAATATGGGCTGAGCCAAAAAACTTTCAGTTGCAAACCTCTATTACTGATTCCAATTTTAGAGGCCAATCTGATGTTAGTAATATTAGGTTGATATTGGCCACTTACAAATTCAATATGTTATTTTTTTAATATACTCATTACCTTTTTTTAATATTATACAATCATCTATGATTTACAAATTTAATTTTAACCTTATGGGTTATTATTTATAATGTTAAATCATTTATATATTTATAGTAATATTGCAATATTATTTTTCAAAATACATCATTCATATTTAGGAAACACATATACAGAACTCAAATATATAGTTAACAGGAAATGAATATACATAGTCTAACAGAATAATATAATATAATTAGTACAGAGGTGACAGAAAAGGTCATTCATCCAGTGAATTCCAACTAGTGTATAATACGAACAATGGCCACACCTGGACCCCTGTGGAGTTGGAATAACCCACCGGTCAAAAAAATAATTTGTTCCCTCATAGCATAGGGTGGAAATCTTAGTTCCTTTGGAAAGGCTTGTACTGCTGTCCTTTGGATGGCTGTAATAAGAAAGTTCAAATGTATAAGGGTTACACTTGGCATGGTTATTTACTCCAGAATAACTGTGGTGTTACTGGTAATGGCTATTGACTGATGATATAAAACACCTAAGAATTATAAAAAAAAATATTTGAGAAAAAGATAAAAAATATTTATATTTATATGTAGTGATAGTCACTTTATAAGTGAAGTGACATTTAATCATATGTAGTAAGAAGCTTCGAAACATTCAATATATTTAGACCAATTATAAAATAAAGTGGGTTAGCTATCGGAAAAATAACACCCTTTTTATATCTTGAAGAAATCTCATAATATATGGTCAATGGTAATTTTTTATTCTCAATTCTTATATATATATGTTCTATTCAATATTATTCAATTTAACAGACCTTTTATTTGTAAATATAAATATGCTATATTATTGTATGACAAATATATTATTCAAATAACGTTGAATATTATAACCTTTTAAAAATAAAATATAACATATCTTATTTCCCACCATTCAAGTTCGTTAATTAATATTTTTGTTTACTTTCGTTACCTCGTTGGATATCGGTTTTGAATTCCTTCTTGACTTGGTTTAATTGTTTCTATTTTATCTTCTTCTTTCCTTCATGCCATCCTTTTTCAATTGGACTTTTTATCCAAACTAAATCGTTTTCTCCCAAATATACATGTATTCCTTTGTCTAACTGATTAGGTCACTACAGAAGTTTATAATAGGTTTGACCCAGTCAAATAATATATTTAGTCTCTTTCCTAAAAATATCTTTGCTCGTATTCGCCCCGTTGATGAGTGTTTTGAATTTCTATGTAAATATCACTTCATTAGGCATTTTTCCCAATCATTCGTTTGTTCTCTATTTTCGAAATATCGATTTTGTTAATGTGAATGCATCTTTCTACCTAACCAATACGTCTCGGATGATACCGTATATTTTTTATATGTTGTATATTCTTGTTTTTACACCATTTATCAAATTCATTTGAAATAAATTGTGGACCATTGTCGTTTACAATTTGACGTGGAATACCATATCGATTAACCCTTTTTTCTAATCTTTTTATTAAATTCTTGTATCTTTTATTCTATCGATCTCGATTCGTTTTGAGTACTCATCGATTCCTACCAGCCAATAAAATCCCTCCAGTGGTCCGGCAATCTAAATGTACCCTTTCCCAGGGTTGCTACTGCGGATTCCACAGGTATACAGCAACACCTGGTATATCTTTGCGTTGTTTTTGACTATACAGCTGTTAACTCGTTTTTTAACACCTTTATTTCGTAATGGATTTCATTGATGTAATACCCGAATGTTCAGTGTGCAATATAAGTAAAACTTTTTTTGAAGTGAGTACGCAATAATAATCTGCCATTTTAAAATAATATAACGTCGTCATCTATTCTTGTTCTAAAAGCTAATAATTCTGATGCTTGATTTTGTATATTTGTACCATTTATTAATATTTTTACCCTTCTTAAGATTGGATCTTTTGCGGTTTCTTCTCTAAGTTCTTTTCTAGATAGAGTTAATGTGTCATAAGTAAGATTTCTTATATAAATCACTGTTTTATTTTCGCTTGTTATTCTATCATTATTTTTCTTTACTGGATTTCGCGATAAAGCATCTGCAATTATATTATTCGCGCCTTTTTTGTACATAATATCGTAATCATGCGGATAATTTTAGGAACTACATAATAATCTTTGATTTGTTAATAAACTAAATCTCTAGAGATTTATCGTCAGTTTATATTACAAACTTACATCCATGCAAATAGTTATGAAATTTTTATACGCTGTTTTTTATTGCTTTAGCTTCTTTGTCTATTGTAGAATAATTCTTTTAAAGTTCTTGAGGTGTACGCTATTGTAAATTCGTCTCCATTATTATATTTTTGCAGGAGTACAACTCTAAATCCTTAGTTAGATGCATCTGATTTTAATATTAACTCGAGGTCCGTTTATAAAATTGCATAGTATTTTTTTCTGTTACTATTCCTTTTGTTCTTTCATTAACCCAATTCAATTTAATATTTATTATGTCGGCATTCCATGTAAGTTTAATATGAACGATGTATGATAGTATAATATACAAAAATGATTTTATGTCATGTTTATTTGGAGTTGGATATTTTTGTATTGCTATTATTTTCTTATTATCTGGGTGTATTCCATTTTCATCTATTATGTATCCTAAATATGATACTTTTTCCTTCATAAAATTTATTTTGATTGTTTTGACTTTTAATCCCGCTTTTTGTAATTTTTTGAGGACTTGATTTACATTCTCTACATGTTCTGTATCATTTTCCTTTGACAATAGCATCGGCTAAATAAACTGCTGTAACTTTAGTCAGCCAGTAAATCATCCATATAGAGTTAAAATATTATTGGTGCTGTAGCTATACCAAAAGGTTATCATCATAAATAGCGATAGTATCCATAGTTACCATAGTTAATAATTCTTATGATTCTTCGTCAATACTCATTTGTAGATATGCGTCTTTTAGATTTAATGTTACATACTTATTTCCATTAGCAATCTTTGCTATTAACCTTCAAACGTTGGTAGAATATGATAATCTTTTAGTAAAATTTATTCAATGTTACTTGAAATCACCACATAATCATAGTTCACCTGAAGTTTTATGTACCACTACCATTGAAGTACTCCAGGTAACTCTTGTTGATGGATCTATTTTCTTTATTATGTCAGATCATTTTCAATTTCAACTTTTAAAGGCAACGGTACTCTTCTTGCTGATAATAGATCTATTGGTTTTATATTTTCTACTAATTGTAGTTTTACTGGTCTACATTTTTTATTAATCCTAATTTATTATCAAGTATCTCCCATAATTTTTATTGTATTGTTTCTATATGTAGTTTGGCTCAAACCATTCTAAGTTTTGACCTCCCAATTTTATTCCATATTGTTGCATTAATGATGGTTACTGCACCTGTATCATATTCCATTTTAATTTCATGGTTGTTTATTAATGCCATAATTGTTGGGTGCTGTTCATATTTGTAGACTTTTTTTCTTGAGAAATCTGAATCCACTCGTTACTATTGTAATTTGTATCTTAAACTTTTCCTCCATTTTTACAACACACGGCATAGTGGTTTAATCTCTTACATTTGCTGCACGTTTTTCCGTATGCTGGAAAATTCCGAAAACAATTACAAATATAGCACGATTTTTTGTGTTATTATTATTGTGGTAGTTATTATAACCTTGAACTGGTCTTTTTACGTATGCTTTATTATCATTTAGATATTGCCGATTATCATTATCATTATACTGCCGATTGTTATCATTTTGATTTCGTTTTTTATTATCATTAATTATGTTTAGTTGTCTCTTTG